TTGGAGTTTCTCTGAGGGCTTTTCCTGAACCATGTGTTTGTTCAAAATCAACAGAAATAATTTAGACACAAAGTAAAAAGGGTGAATTTCTCAAACATGCTGTCTTAATGCTTGCAGTGCTGGTTGAATGGCTGAAAAGATGTTCTGGTAATAAGAAAACAGAGTGGTAAAAATCAAGACACTACACAACATTTGTAATACTTAGGTTACTGCTTTAACTGTGAATTAAAATCAAAAACATTCATGATTAAACTAAAAACACTTGCAATTGTAAATTACTTGTTGAAATCATTAAGATTGCCCTTTTAAATTTCAAAAAGTTGGCTAAAAAATTTAAATTTAAAATGATATAGTATATGATTTGCGTATATTTCATCCCAGCTTGCACATAAGCCTTTGTTCAGTGTGATGCCCCAAGAAAGGACTCTTCAGAGCTCAGTGAACACAGACAAAAATGGAGGGCATGCAGGACGCCTGTTATGAGCCAAGAGCCAAAGCCCCCCTTATCAGTCCAAAGAAAGGACTCCCCAATGCACAATGCACATTAATAAAGTAACCCACAGGTTCCCTTGTGCACAGCCTGATGTTGAAGATGCTCACTCACACCACACACATATCTGAGTCCACCTCATCTGTTTCCCCGGGCAACAATGATGGGAAAAAGCTGGAGTGATGATGATTAAACTTTTCTCGGCAGCTGTGGTCTCAACAAAGCTCCATAAGAAACAAACTGATTGAGTGCAATGTTATATTTTCTTAAGTCTTGTCAAGAGGTGACAGATTTTTTCAAAAAAGTATACCATTCTTTTTGTCTTTTTGTCATCCTACAATGGGTAGGGTACATAAATGTACACATTAGTTTTAGGTTCTATGCTACAATGGGATAAAGAGCTGATATGGCCTCAAGAAAATGCCCATTTAGCCACAAACCAGTCATTGGACAATGACTGACCTTCCTTGAAAGTTTCAAATCTGCTGAAAACAGCTGATCATTCACTGCATCTTCTAGATATTTTCACACATATTAGCTAAACAGTTTTTTGGTTTTTTTTAATGATCATATAAATGACAGGATTTCTACAATAAAAAAGATAGTTCTACCCAGAGGTGTATTTGAAATGTTGCTCCTGAGGGGGAACAGGGTAAGTAGAGGTGCTGCTTTGGAAAGAATGTGCAGTTAATGCCACACTCATGGTCAGATTAGTCAGGCCTGTGCAGGGGATGTCTCTCAGGGTCACTTCCATGGCATACATCGTCTTCACAGCTCATTTTTGTGGATGTTACAGAGGAAAGTGGGAACAATAATCAGAATATTGGGTTGTCAAAAGTCTCTCAATAAGATGAGTTGTTTTAACTCCACAATCGCAAGAATACCTACCATAATATAAAGTGAAAGCCATTTGTTTTGTTACATCCTAAGAGGGTAAGATAGTGCTCTCAGACAGTTCTCCAAGGCACATTTAAGTTCTGCTTAAGCCAGTGCATCATCTTCAGATACATCTTATGAAGCCAAGGTCCATGAGAAGCATCCCCAATGGCTTGAAAAAGAGCAGTTCAAATCTATGACCCAACAGTATGCTCTCACAGAAGGTCCCAAAAATACAGCCATAGCCTCAGTCTCTGTAGACTCACATTGTCTACATGTGCACAGCTGACAGCGGGTTCACTCTGATCTGTCCTTGACTCCCATCACAATCCCAATTATTACAAAATGATCCACTCAATTACTAATGCATATACATCTACATTCATTTGCCCCAGGTTTCATCAATATTTAGATGAGAGAAATCCTGGTCATCTGTCTTCAATAGGATTTCAGGAAGCATGTATGTATACATTAGAACTCCTCTATTTTCATACATGTGCACTGCTTATTGAAGTCAATTGCCAGGCCTATGATCTTGTATCAGTATGCTTGCTTCATGCTGAGGGAATGTGCAGGATCGCCACCAGGATTTTCTCAGCATTAACACATGCCATGTCAGAAAACCTGCTTAGAGGGCCACTATAAGCCACTGTGTTTTTTCAGGGTCCAGACAGGCACGTGCTATCAACTGGTGTCCGCTCTGAGGGCAGCCCAATTCAAAAGCCAAAAGACAGTGAATAAAATCTGTCAAAGTCATGTGGGAATTTTACTAGCATTACTATTATGTATTTTAACAATGACAGATAGGCACTGAGTGAGACATGGGAGGGTTAGGACCAGACGAGAGGTATTTAACATACGATAAAGTAGGGATCGTTACCAAAATACTCCAGTGACTTTCTATGTAAAACACACTGCGTTGTGTTTGCAGATCAGGTTACCCATACACATTGCAAACTTTGGGCTGAGCAAAATCTTATCATATACTAAAACCAAGTTACCAGATTTTTTTGAAAATGCTCAAAACACAACTTTTTGCATCCTTCAGTCATTATCACCTCTATGTGGATTACCTTGTTCATATTTTTCCCTTACAATATAAATCTTGCGACAAAACCCCTATATGGAAGTATGCTCTTGGCAGTTTTACTCACTTGGGAAATCCATGTAATGTCATTGATACCTGTTGTTTTAAACTCATGAAAGCTCCATATTACAATTAAACACTACAACTAATAAAAGTGTGTCAGGAAAGGGGTAAAGGTACATCTAAGACACAAGTTAACTGGGACAGAAATAGCACAAAATGTCACATAAAAAAAAGTACTGTGTATCCATCCATGGCAGGGTTATGCACCTGCCGACTTCATTTACAGGTGTCGACTGATTCTCTCACTGGACGGTCCCAGGGACTGACCAAGTGACCTTAACCTTCGGCACCCCGATCCTTCATACACACACCCAAACACATACACCTCTCCTGCCCCCATGGGATAGAGCGCCTGGTGCAGAATAGTACAACACAAAGACCACCTTTATTCCCCTATGTACACCGATCTGATAGGACAGGGAAGGCCAGAGAAAGGGGATTTCACTAGTTTACACAATAATATTTCATTTTCATATTTTGTTCAAGTGTTCATCCATATGGCGTCACCTTTTTTTTCATTTTCACATTTTATTTAAAGGTTGTGAGAATAGATAACAAAAACGCGGCCTATAGTTTGAAATCTTGATTTAACAAAGGGCAAAAGACACACTGCGATAATACAGCAAACTTTGTTCCTCTATTATAACATATTTGATTCTGCATGAACATGAGTGTGCCTGTCTAAACCATTATAATTTTGTTTATGTCGAAACATTTTTCATGAAGTTGAAAGAGTAATGACTCAAATATAGACTGTTTCCGGTCCTGAGTAAGTCCTGGACTATAGGGCAGTACAACCATAAAGAAGATGTGTGCCTTGTGTTTGCATAGCACTCTTCAGCCCAGTGACTGATGAGGGAGCAGAAGCCACAGTGAGGAGAAGCAGTGGACATGTTACCCTGAAACATCAACACAGCAGTCAGACAAATGAGGCCATACAATCCACTTCTCCATCTGCATTCAACATTTATTACCAAACCCCTTCAAACCGGAACATAATGACTGTGGTTCTGCTGAAAAATAGACCACTGACTGATGTTAAACAACGTATTATTGTGCTCAGAAAGACAGAGTGCTTTCAGGGATAACTTCATCAAGAAAAACATTTTACATAGACACGAGACATATTTCCTATCTATCACCTGACGTTAGCCACCAAATGAGCCATTAATTGCAGACACCATTACGCACAGTAATACGGAGATGACAGTGAAATGTGCCTCAAGCTTTTATGGTGCTAACTCCCTCTAGAGGCGAAAACCTGTACACCGTTGTGATCTACTGTCAAGAGCAATTAATTGAGGGAAATGGCTATCAATCGCTAAGCCCATTAGTGTCACAACAATAAGATAGTGCCGCATATTTGTTTTGGTAGGGTCCACACGAACCAATGGAAAACCTAAAAACACATGAAGCTGGATGTTACAACAGACTACTGGTCTGAGCTCTCCCTAAGCTGAACAAGTCCCCACGTCCGGCCTCCGCCTCGGGATAATCACAGGCGCACATCACAGTTGATACAGTAAAGTGAACGGTGGAAGTCAACAGGTCTGATAAACGTAGGCTATTTCTTTGTGTAAGTGAATTGTGTCAGATTATTGCTTCCTGACACAATAAAAAACAGCAACATAGAGAGTGTTAAATGTGTTTTAAACCAACAGGCAATACCACCATAACTACAACAATAGAAGTGACACTGAAATTAGCTTCCTCTCGTCCTCCAAGTCTGTTCCACATCAAACGTGTTACGTGATGAATCCAGGTATCACAGCCGCCACAGAACACACAACCCTTGTTAAAATAACTCCTGTGTGTTCTCCCTTTCTGTTTCTGTGCCTGACGCGGGGGGCTTGCCCTCTAAATAAACTTTGCAGCTCGTGGGGGGAGAGGGAGAGACAGAGAGACAGCAGAGGGCTGAAGTCATCAGCGGGACTACGAGAGGGAGTGAATGGGTCCTGCACGCAAAGCAGAAAGCGTTGGAGCTGTGTAGAAGCACTCTGGCTCACTTCTGTTGCGCGCTGCCGATAGACGCGGGATGAGAGTTTGATAACCACGCGACGACTGCATTTAAAAAAATTGGCCAAGTGCTATTTGGAGTTGATGGCTGAAATCTTTAGTTTTGTAGGTTTTAACTGACGCTGGGAATAATCCTAGATCTTAAGCGCTCCTTTACGCACACGGGACGCACGGCACATTTTGGGACGCACAATCTATCCGGAGCTCTACAAATGGATTTAATAAATGTAACTTTTTTCAAGGAATGAACACACCCTTTTCATTATTTTTACTCTCACAAATGGTTAATATCTTGCTCTCGTGCAAGACTGATGACATTTCTTGGCAAGTGCGTTTTCTCCTATGGGATGCTCTGTATAACGGCGCGGAGATTGCTGCTTTGAGTCAGTGCAACTCCGAATGAAGAGCCCATCCAGGATGATAGAGTCCGAGCGGGCCAGGCATCAATGGGCCCGCGTACACTATCACCACGATCTCATATCACATAGCAGGGGCTCTCGTGGTGTTTAGGAATTGACTTTTTGACTTGAAGTTGCGAGCTTTTGGAGAAACTAAAAGGATCTTATCTACTAAGTTCTGTGCTCTATATTGACATTGGCTTTACGATTATCCTCTCTGTGGGCTACTATGCAATTACAACTGATCTCCTTTGTTTTGATCATATTGTACTGTATGGATTACACTGGCGGTCAGCACAGCAGCTCCAGGCACCGGCACCACAAACGTGAGTATAAAACGTAACCATACACGACTGTCGCGTCGTTATTACTCCACCAGGTAGACTATGAAGTTCATCCAAAATATATTGCTTGTCTTTTACAGGCCTATGTGAATCGTTTGAGTGGACTGAAATTTTACAATTTGATGAGAAATTAAACCGATTTTCGTTTTGTGAAGTTTTCCAGCAGGCAACTACATTGTATAAAGAGAATTCCTATATAAAACGCGCATGAGTTAAACCGTGTTGTGTTCTTTCTGGCTCAATGGGCAGATTACTTTATATGTGCTTGTAACGTAGCGGTTATCTCACTGGTGGCCCGTATAATTAAAAAGACTGCAGCTTAGTTCAAGTCAGTGGTCCCCGTCGCTCTCTAGCGGTACGAGAAGTGACAACACTCATGGGGCGCATGGGACTAGTTAGGGTTTGTCTTTTCTAAATAACTTAAAAAAAAAAAAAAAAAAAAAAAAAAAAGTGTAGTTAAATATTTCTGTATATTGGATTAAATATTACACATACAAAGAGATAATCATAAATATTACCATGCACAGCAGATAATCAAATAATAATGATCAACATTAAAGTCCCCAATCTTTATAAGAGTACCAGTAGGTGTAATACAGCATGTTCTTGTGCACCTATTCACCGAGTGTGTCCAGATGTGTGTGAACGTCTGGAGACAAGATAACTGGAATATTCCATGTAGCACTTGCCAAAACTGTCTGTGATCTATGATAATACTTGCTACCTGCTTTAAACATCTTTTTACTTTCACCCACATGCCTCTGTTTGCACTTGGCCTTTTCCCACACCTTTTTTACGACGACCACAGCTAACCTTTTTAAAACACAGTATCCGAGGTGAGCTGTTTATTATGTGGTTTAAGGGGTTCGGGGGTTACTAGCTTTTGGCAGCTCTGCTCAATGTAGGTTAGGTCATCCCTGCAAGACTAAGCTATGATTGTTTGTCCTGTCCAGAAGAGTGCAACTGTCCATACACTGTGCTTGGTCATATGGCTGAAAACATGCCAATGAAGGAGAAGGAAATTACGACACCCAGCAATGTCAACCTCTGTCAAGTATTCGAAAGACATTTTGTATACTGGGAGGAGGTGTGAAAGATGCTGTTCAAACGGAGTGCTTTGAAACAGTCTGGATCAGTCTACAATTGTGAAAAAAAAAATGTGTTGAGAATTATTATGAACATATTTGACAGATTATGTCTTACTTAAAACAAATATTTTACTCTGATCTAGAAACATTTTAAAATCATGTTACGTGTAAAGAAGGCAAAAGAAAAACCTTGGACCGTGCCCAATATTGCACACATTGTTCCGGTTTTACCATTAATTTCTGGAGCAACAATTAGAAAATGCTATTTTTTTTCAATCTAAAACATGAATAATCTAATTTAAATTGAAAGAAGTTGGATTCTGGCATAAGATCTTTCATTATGGTGATATAATTTGCAGTGTGATATGTAGAAAGACTTCCCCTGATAAGAGGAGGACAGGGAATTAGCTGGTGATGGGGTGAATGAGTGCAGACTTCAGAGGATCCAAGGGGGTAACAGAGATGAGAGTCAATGGCCACTTGGTCATCATGGCAACAGCGTAGGGACAAGCTCCACAAGACACATGACTGGCTGTTGGTAAACACTGAATGGAGATTATAAAACACAGTGAAAAACAAAAACACTGGTCTTACACATGCATTCTTCTTGGTCCACAGGTGTATGCTGAGCTAGCTCTAAAATCACTGACAAACCAGAAAGGGGTCACATAAATAAAGAAAATATGGTGTGGATTAATTCTGAGGTACTGAAAAGTGCAGCTTGTCAGTTCTCATCTTTGCGAGTCAAAAAAGACCCAAATGTGTTGAATGACAGGGTTAGTCTTTTATCTCTTTACCTCTTGCACAACTCCATTCTCCCATCACCATCTGTTTCTATGTGTGAGCATGTGAGTGTGTTTATTCATATGTGACTTTGTTGGTATGTATCTGCAGATACCACAGAGCTACTGAGGTTTTGTCAGTGAGAGGCGAGGGCAAGGCCAAATTCCAGTGTCTTAAGTCTTCTGTGAATCAGAGGCTTGGCAGGAGCATGCGGCCAAATGGACAGCAATTGTACAGATTGCTGAAATTTTCAAACAAAGTGACTGTGATCTATGGTAAACTGGCAAGCCAAGAAGGTAGAGGGGTTAGGCAGATGCCAGGCTTAAAGAAAAACAAAACAAACAGGACTACAGTGAAACAAGGGAATGATAATATGTTACAGGTGAGCACATTTTATCTTCAGTGCATCTGAATCTTCAGTATGTATCATAAATTCAGAAGCTTGGTTTCACTTTAAGATTTAAGAGTTTTTTGATATTCATGCACCTGTTCCCCCAATGGTGCCATTTGTCTGTTTATTGTATATTGTATATAAAAGACCAAATATATAATACAAAGAGGTAGTAGGAGAATGAGAACAGGACAACATGTTGTATGTAACCGACAAAAACTCCCTGAAACATTGCCCTGAGGTGGGTTCCAGTGATAAATATTTAAGTATAAAATATAAAATATAAACTATAAACATGAACTATTCAGAGATCTATTGTAATAATTAATACTGTAGATATATAATAGGAGTGGTTTATTTTCTATACATCATAAACCTTCATGGAGAGAAGAACAAGCTAAAAGCACTTTAAAAAGGGTTAATATTCATGATTACGTTTCAGTTACTATTTATGCAAGCACATGAAGGACCTTATGCATTTGTGATCATCAGTCAAGAATGCATAGGCTATTAGTCATTTACATTGATCCTAGCTCCACTCCGACTCCACTCTCTGCTTTATACTCATGTTGCAACTGTAGATACATTGAACAGATGTAAACACACAATCGCTTTGATTAAAACAGCTTTTATCTACAGGAGAGGGCTGGTCCATACATGCATACATCTATATGGTGAAGCCTATATCAAAATAAAGTAAACACGGCCAAGCTATAGACTGTCTACACTGGACACATTTATGTTGCTATCATATGTCACTAAAAGCAGACAATTAGACTCCTTAGTCACGCATTATTGCTTCTCTGAAATTGTTCTCTTAACCTCAAGTTTTAAATATTTAAAAAACCTAAAACTAACCAACTGCAAATGGTTTTAAAACAGAGGTACTGCATAATGTAAATGGAGGGGAGCCAGACATCATTAAGGACTTGGATTGGACTCCTTGCTTGGATACAGTTGTATAACTTATTTCACCACTTGTCCGTGGCCAAACTGTTTAACTGCAGCTAAAATATTAAGATGGCAGAGGAAAAAGTTTAGATTCACTGCAAACGTTGCAAAAGTTATGCTTTTTTTATATTTTCACAATACTATGCCAAATTCTTAAGACTACTGACAAAAAATACACAGTAATTGCTCAAACAGGTCAAACTGAGTAAATGCTTTTTCCATTGAGTCACAAAAGTACATCTAGATGATACAGAAAAGGTGCTGGATGTAAACAAAGATCTTGACCTATGCCAAAATAATATAGTTTTTGGCCCACTACCAACATTGATTTTCCACTCAAAACATTTGCACTGCTCATATTTATAATTGCTTTGTGTTCAACAGAGATTTCTAGCGGGGGCTTAGGGTGCCAGCAAGGCGGCTGTCTGACCTGCTCCGACTACAATGGCTGCCTCTCGTGTAAGCCACGATTCTTCATGCACTTGGAGAGGATTGGGATGAAGCAGATCGGAGTGTGCATGACATCGTGTCCTCCGGGATTTTACGATATTCGTTCACCGGAGAGAAACACTTGCACAAGTAAGGCTTTCAATTGGAACTCTACTCCAAAGGTGTTACAAAGGAACTTAGCTTAGCGTCCCCCTGATCTATAAGTTTAATTTGCAATTAATTCAAATTATCTGGCTCAATTCAAAGTAAATAGCTAGTTAGTATTTTTAACAACAGAGCCATTTTAGATTGTCAAAAGCCAGCATATGAGGAAATGAAATATGTAAATGAGCACATGCACTTCATATTAGCCATCAGGATAAGCAGTTCTTTAAAGCACTTCTTCCATAAGAATTATTTTACAAGGCCAATTTGAAAAGGCCATAGCGTTAGATAAGCACACATGTGTCTGCTTGTTCATCTGTGAATAATATTTCTGGTGACATTAAATGAAATCTAATGTTTGTCTTACTCCGACTCATCCATCACTCGGACATGAATCTGCCCACAGTGGCCTCTCTTCTCAACTGTATCCCTGAGCACACATGGACACTCAGAGACACGCTGTATATTTAACAGGCACGACACACACCATAACTTGTCTGTTTTAAATAAACTGAGGTGGTGGGTCTGTGTTTCCTTGTCAGAGTGCAGGTCTGAGTGTGACTCCTGCTTTAACAAGAACTTCTGCACACGCTGCCGGCCGGGCTACTACCTCCACCTGGGCAAGTGTCTGGAGAGCTGTCCCGATGGGCTGATGCGCAGCGACATCCAGCGCGAGTGTGTGCACAGTGAGTGTGTCATATAAACTACAGTAGTACCATGTGGGATTTAGTCCTGTCATCTAATCCTGTGATTGTCTCAGGGTGCCCTGCAGAGTGTGAGGCCTGTGTGAACAGCGAGCTGTGCACGCGCTGCAGACCAGGGCTGTACCAGCTCCAGGGGAGCTGCTACCATGTCTGCCCTGAGGACTACGAGCCCAATGACAGACTCATGGAGTGCTCTCCACAAGGTCAGCAGTAGTAGATAATGCTCCCTCAGACACTGACATTAAAGACTGTTCTGTAGAGAGGGGCCTAAACCATGTTGATCAAACCCGGCCATGTGTAACGTTTCCTCACATCAGTGAACTGTGATGATCTTTCTGATGTCTATGTAAAACTGCACTAACCTTAGACTGCCTCCTGACAGTGCACTGTGAGGTGGGCGAGTGGAGTGAATGGAGCCCCTGCTCTCGCTCTGGGAGAACCTGTGGCTTCAGGAGGGGTCAGGAGACTCGCACCAGGCTGGTCCTGCAGTATCCATCACCCTTTGGACGGCCCTGCCCAGAGATCTCTGAGATCAAGGAGTGCCTGGTCAAAAGGAAAAAGTGCCCAGGTTAGTAATCGCAGACAAATTATCTATTCATCAGTCTTTTCTATATCCTAGAACAATCTCCACGGGATCCTAGAAATTGCATGCAGAAGTAGACAGTACAAAAATTGAACAAAATTGTCAATTGTCCCAGGCTTAGTCTCTGCATATTGTAGCAACTGCTGACCGATGGCGTTTGTGCCAAAATAGTGTTTGTGACATATGGCACAGTTTGAGCTCTGTATGAATTCCAGACGTTGGCTTGAGCTTGTACAATCAGAGCTGGTGTTCTTCCGCTCAGGACTATATCTGTTTACTCAGAGGATTGTCATTGTGGTTGGGCTGAGGATGGTGGGGGAATACACATGTGATGTTGCAATATCTGTGTGTATTCCGACGAGAATCTTTGGATTTAAAGAGGAAAAGGTTCTGTAGGCCTAGTAAACTAGGAATGGCGTGATAATTTCTAATGAATCAGGTGCACACTACTTTCAGACGGCTGTCTTTATAAGTCCCTGGTGCTCTATGTGCTCTGTGTGTGTGGTTACCGCGTCTGCTTGTTTTTGAGCCTGGACTCAGTAGTGTTAAATGACAAATCGCAGACAGGCTAAGAGAGATCCAGCCCCCCGGGGCCTCACACTGACAGAACAAACTGTGTCTATGTCTGTGTGTCTGTGTGTCTCTGTGTGTGTGTGTGTGTGTGTGTGTGTGTGTGTGTGTGTGTGTGTGTGTGTGTGTGTGTGTGTGTGTGTGTGTGTGTGTGTGTGTGTGTGTGTGTGTGTGTGTGTGTGCGTGTGCGTGCGTGCGTGTGCGTGTGTGTGTGTGTGTGTGATGCAGCAAAAAAGAGTAGGAACAGCCAGCACAACATCAACATTCTCCCCTTGGGAGCCATGTGGCGACCAGGGGATCAGTGATGGTTTATCCCCACAGCTGCCAACACACACATTAGAAAACCAGCTCAATAATCCAGACACACCTCGTGAAAACAATTGTACACAGATACTTCCACATGATCCATTATGTTTGTAGAAAGCATTACCTGGGTCACAGTCAAGATGCACTAATCACTTAACAGTGCGACAGGTGCTTGTGAGCTTGGCTGTTGCAGCTTGTACTTTAACCAGTTTATATCAGAGTCTGTTTAGAAATAAGGATATTTGATTAGAAATAATTTTTAATGTCTATTGCCTCAGCATATCATTCCCCTGTTGGCCCGTCCAGGAGCCTCCCCACTGAATAGAGCTAATTAACGTATCTTTGGGGCGTCCTCTATATGCTGTTTACTTGTGCACACACGCTACAGGGTCGATGGTCTGACCCCCACAACCCTGTGTAATCCTCAGCAGCCCTTAGACACTGATACATCCTCCTCCTCTGCTCTCCTGCCACATCCCCATTCACTCCCACACAACTGTTACACACATCTTCACTCATATTTGACCATTTCCTCCTTTCATTACAATCTCACTCTTGTCTCTGCAATGCAACTTACAACTATGATATTAATAAGAGAAACGTGTAAGATGTCAAAAGTATGTAATAATGGGAGCAGTCATATTACAGAGAACAATAGGGATCAAAAGGAAAAAGTGTGGGTTATGCTCTTTACAAGAAAGGCAGCCTCATAACATACAGAATAAATGATAATATGTAACAGGTTTATTGTTTTATATTAAAAATAAAAGCCTAAATTTGATCCACTCTGCATCAGACGATTTCAACCACAATGCTGCAAGATAACAGTGGAATTTTTGTTAAAGGATGCCAAAGGCGTACTGTCTGCAGACATTTTAAAGTGGTAAATCACTGATATCAAATCAGGAAGAATGGCTCAGTTCTTTTGTCAGGCCAAACAAAAGATGTGCACACTTACCTTGCCCTTCACTCAACCTGTTCACCTCCAGCACTGCAACAATGCTTCATATATTCTACCCACTGAGACAGATAATTGAATTATAGGAGTCAGACAGGGGTGTCAGTCCACTCACACACATCCTGGTGGTCATGTGGCGGGCATTCCTCTCTTGGGACAGTTTGTAGCCTTTAATCCGCGCCTGGCTCCCGCCAAAAGCTCCCCGGACGACGCAGCGCCTGCCGTGGAGGATATGGCATCATTAAAACACACAGTGCTCCTTCAACCATACACACAAGATCCATCACTTTAGAGGACAATGCACTGGCTGCAATCATTTCCTGTGCCCACCGGTGAATCATTTTATAGTTACGGGCAGTTGGAAACATATTCGCCGTTTATACAAGAACAGACACCACATTTTGGCTTGCATTCCCATCTTATTATTCAGAGATTTGCGTGGGATGTCCCACACACAAAATGATGACAGATAAATGGAACATGCACAACAGATACACGAGTGACTGTGACAACAATGTACGGTAATTCTCCTGAAAGCTATTATCTTGGTGCTAAATAATGCATACACTGACCTTATTGCAAGTGTTATTTGTGTTTAACAAACTCAACATTATTACACAATTAACATGATTTTTAGTAGCATCATTGTTTCATAAAAAATTGCCACATCTGCCTTGTTTTGGGAGCCAGATTACACACTTCTTCAGTACTTACGGAAAGATATCAACCTGAATTGGGACATTTCTCTTCAAGTGCAAAAAAAAATAATAATAATTTCAAAGAGGAAATGTTTGTTATTTGATTGGTTTCATTAGTTTTGTCATCTGAATTACATTTTCACTAATCAATTAATTAACATGCATTTTCCAAATAAATAGACTACAATAATAATAGAAAATATCTGAAAAGTTGTCCGAACCAAGGTATCTCATTTGGACATTATCCATTTGTTGACACAATTTACAAAAATTTTCAGAAATTTATCCAACAAGATAAATGCATGTTGGAATGATCAACACTCTGCTAATCATCACATCAGGTTTCTCCTCAACCAGAGCACAGAGGCTACAGTATGACTAATCCACTGAAGTTGTAAATAGTTATAGTGTCGGGACAGAGAAAACAATGAGCGCAAAGGGGACTTCCTGTGTTTATAGAGGAGAGAGGCAGAACTGAATGAGTCAATGCACCAGATTACTGCATCCATCCAGCCAGTGAGATCTGGTCCATTTAAACCAGTGAGAGATGACATGCAGTTTATCATGGATCATGCCACTATGAAAATAATAATACTAAATTTTGACTTTTGGAAGAGAGAATATATAATCTGTGTGAAACAGATAAAATGTGCCTTTTTAGGTATAGTTTTGATAGGTATGCTAGCTAGAAAAAGTTAAATAGCACTTGCACTAGCCTTATTAGACAGCAACATTGCCTTGTGGGGTGACATAGAGTCCTTCTTAGAAATCCTGGCTTAAATGAACAGCGGGTGAGAGGGAAAGTGTAGGGGGGATAGGAGGCTGAAAGTGCAGAGATCTGTCTGCTCTGGTGCCTACTGCCTACTTCAGCAGTTTCACAATCCCCAACAGCCAGCCAACCACCAGCCCTCTGTGCCTCCCCGCTCCCTCACGCACCGACAGCCGCTCTACAACAACAGGAAGGGCCTGTGCGTGCACTCGCAGTCCTGTCTCCAACCTCCCTGGAGGCGGGGCTAACTATTATCATTAATAACTCTATCTAAGACAGAGATAAACCTGGAGCATACCAGCACTCCTGGTTTTGTTTATGACATGGTGTTGCAAGAACAGATAAATTTGGGATTTATTTAAAGGCTTTCTATTTTGGACAAAGGTCTGTATTGAGGAAGAAGGAGCAGCTGGTACTGTGCTGGATCTGTAATACAACACTGGCATCTAGTGGAGATGATCAGGAATTGCATTTGTTCGGGGATAATGTGGTTTTTAAAAAAAAGTTTCATTTTGCCAGCGTTTTAATAGAGAAATATAATATAATTTTTATGAGTAATATACGCAGCAAATAGTAATAGTAATAATAGTAGTATAGTCGTATCTGTGATAACACAGCAATCTTCACAATCCTGTAATGTATCCAGGTCCAGAGTTCAAGTCAGTTCAAATCAGGTCACTCTCCTGGTAACTGCTAAATCACCCAACTAAAGTCAAACACATATTTCAAAATATTACTACTATATTGGGTGTTTATTTATTAAATATGGGACAGTGCACAATAAACATGTTTTAGTAAAGCATGTAAATGTGCCAGAGTTAGCCGTGCAAGCTAATTTTAATCCGTAATCCCATTGGCAGGTTGTGTAAATTCTGGTTTTGTAAACATACAATAATTTACCCTTTAATAACTATTTTTCTTCTTCCAGGACGAGGGAAGAATGAGCGGAGAGATAGAAGAAACCGCAACAACAGAAGAGACAAGGCCAGTCAAGAGGTGCTCCGGGACAGGAAACGAGAGCGGGACAGGGACCCAGGCGAGCGCGACAACTCTGACAACAGGAACAAAACAGAGCACCGGAGACGCAGAGAACAGCACTCAGAGAACACACAGCACAGCAGTAGTGTCCAAGGACACCAAGACTGAGCCCCCTGTGCCGTCTCATTCTCCGCACTGTCTCTCTATTAGCCCCTCTCTGCAGGGGTGTTGCTGCTATGTACCTGTATTTGGAACTGTTTTGTGCACAGACATCTTGGGCCACAACAAGCTGAAAGTTCTCTATAAATGACTTTACTTCCACCGCTGTGTCTCTGCTAAATAAAACAAGTGGAACATGAGATGCTACTGAGATAGCAGAGAAAGTAAAACTGGCTGAACTTTGAACAGACAAATGGACAAAGACAGAATTATACTATATACTTGTTGATATGGTTATTTAAAGGGGCCCTAGTACCATGTTGGTTTTTGAATGTAGATTTGTTGCAACATTATGTAGATGAATTTATTATTGTTGTTCCTGTTCAATAGATTTTACTTCGTTTGCAAGTTTTGTAAAGAAAATTATTTTTGCTCGTGCTCTTTGAATCCTTTTGAACAAGGTATGAAACTTGTCATTCTGTACATGCTGTGCAAAGCATGACATTCTGCCACTGGTTTTCTTTGTGTAGGCTAAATAAAACAGCTCTCAGTAAATCTACCTGAATAGAAAACAAAAGCACCTGTATGTCAAATAAAATGTAAAGATTTTGTCCCTGTGTCAGAATCTCTATACATTTTTTAAACACAGCTAATTCCAAGTGAAGTCATAATACTGTGTGGAAACCTTAAGCAAGGCTGATCCATAAACCATAACCTGCAGACAGATCTCAAACACTGTGAAGGTTGTGCAACTTCAAAATATTTCAGTGTACTATACATTCAAGTACTACCTTTAAGTAAAGTTATTTTTATTTTAGGTTCAGTTTTAAGTTACATCATGTATGAGTGTGTAAATTTGCTGTACTATCAAAGAACATGCACCTTCTGAACCTAACTTGACTGACCCCCAGTTATTCATGAGTGTAGCAGAGGCCTTGATTATAAATGCTTAACAATGTGTTGGTGCATTTGCTGATTATATAAATGAAAAGAGAATCATTTTCTCTGGTCTAAACTGTTTATTGTTGGAGTGTTTTGCTCATCAGTAACATCTATGCATCTGTATGTTAAGCACAGTTGTATATCAAAGCAGATAAACCCCTGTATACACATTACATGAAAATATACTTTTCTTAAAATTTACATTTTCAAATGGACAAGTGCTGATACAGTATATGAATAAATTATAAGTGCAAGGCAAAGTCACATTTAACAGTATAGGAACAGTAAATGATCCTTCGGGAAAGATAGTTGAATCAAGGTAACTTTTAAGAAAAACAATGAGGAAACAGATGTTTGGTTCGTTTGATGTTTGGTGTCCAGATGCTGTAGATAAGACAAACACAACCACAGATGACCCTCTACAAACTAAATGCCACAGTTCACTTCATGTTAGACACAAAGTCCTCGCCCTTCTTGATGGAAGCTTTGAGCTCACCAATGGCATCCGCCACCAACTGCTCCTCAAAGGCAGACAACTTGCCCAGACCCAGGTTCTTCTCAATGCCGTTTTTGCCCAGGAGAAGAGGAGTGGAGAAGTACTTGCACTCCGTTTCCTCAGAGCGGACGAAGGCACACTCCACCACACCTTCCTTTCCATTCATGGCGTCCAAAAGGGAGAAGGTGAAGCGGGCACCAGCATAAGCCATGGACAAGGTAGCAGAACCAGCTCCAGCCTTGGCCTTCACCACCTCAGTACCCGCCTCCTGGATCCTACCGGTCAGGGCACTCAGCTGGTCAGCGGGGAACTCGACCTTTGGTGTGCACTGGGAGATAAGAGGGATGATGGTCTTCCCAGCGTGACCTCCAATGACCGGCACGTTGACACGGGCTGGATCCAAGCCCTTGAGCTCTGCCACGAAAGTATTTGCTCTAACAATGTCCAAGGTTGTGACACCAAACACTCTGTTAGGGTTATAAACTCCATGTTTCTTCATGACCTCTGATGTAATGGGGATGGTGGAGTTGACGGGGTTGGCGATAACGCAGATCATGGCTTCAGGACAGTTGCGAGCACAAGCGTCGGCTAAGGTGGCGACAATGGTGGCATTGGTGTTGAATAAGTCGTCACGAGTCATACCGGGTTTACGGGGCACACCTGCGGGAATCACTACTACGTCGCAGCCCTGCAGAGCGGAGCCCAGCTGGTCTGGACCGATGTGTCCGGTGACATGGGCTCTGGTCTCGATGTGGCTGAGGTCCGCGGCCACCCCGGGAGTGTGGGCGATATCATACAAGGAGAGTTGGCTCACCAGCGGGCTGTTCTTGAGGAGCAGAGACAGAGGTTGGCCTATTCCGCCTGACGCTCCAAGCACCGCTACTTTGGCGTTGTTTTGCGATGTGGTAGACAGACCGCGGACCAGGCTGATGGTAGGTCTTACGGCTCGTGAAAACATTTTGGCTGATTAACTTAGTTACTTAGTTTAGTGAAGTGAAGTACCTGCAGAGCCGCTCTCCTCTGTGACACCAACGTCCTCTAGCCACGAGCGAACAGGAAGACCTGCTAACGGACATGCGCTGTAGATAAGCGTGCGTACGTCCTTACGTCAGTGTGCGTCTGGACGCACAGCTACGTAGTTGTCTTTATCCTTTGGTTTCTTTTTTCGGAAGGAAAACAAAGCCAGATGTAATCAGCAGGAAGGATCTCATTACAACTTAATACCGATATTCATAGTACAAATACAACCCATCAGCGTGCTGAAACCTCAAGGTACACCATGTCCATATTTGCCAGATTGCCAGGCTCGCGGGGAAACGTTTTCCTCTGCTGTTTGTGTCGTGCTGCGAAAATAAGCTAGCTTTAGCTTTGTCTAACGAACTTCGTCTTTCTGCTCGAGCTATTGAAGAGTTGTTCATTTTAGACATGCTTTTCTCTATCGTGTTTCTTTTCTGCTTGTCTCAAACAGTATGTCATTGCTGCGATTAAAGCATTAACTAAATAAATCGCACGGCGTTGTAGTTTGGGCAGTAGTTACCTTGTGACCAAAACATCACAATGTCAATTCTGTACCATTTGAGCTCTTTACATAATAGTGAGAGTTCTCGGCTTTACAGTTTATAACAGTCAGATCCGTCCTCTCCCCACTGATCAGTCTCATACCACAGAGCAGCTCTTTGTTCAGCAGAGTCAAGTGACTCCCGCATCATTCCAGAGCTGAAAGAAACGAATTAACCCTAATTTAGCTAATCTCTTCAGCATCATATTTACTGCATGTTTGTCACAGATTTTCACTGAGATCATCTTAAATAGTCAAACCATACTTTGTCTTATAAGGTTAAAGCTTCAACGTCCATCCTTTTGTATATTTTAGTTTGGTTAAAGTGTTTTCCTTCTCAACAGTGGAATGTCCTAACTTCCATTAGAACCACTAATGCTACAACACCATTAAGGCATCTCCAGTAAGTACATTGATATCATTGATATCTCAAATATGCAAAGTAACATTTGCATCATAATATACAGAAAATATAAATTACTTCTTTGTTTCTGCAGTACTTCTTCAGGATGGCTAGTTGCGGTGAAGTTGACCACTCAGTGAGTTCACTGCCATCCAGTAAGAAAGGTAGTGGCAGTGGTGGAAGTGGAAGCAATGCAGAGTCTCCATGCTCTGGCTCCAGTAATCCAACTGCCTCTCTTCCTGTGCCAGAATGTGCCATCTGTCTGCAGACCTGCATACACCCGGTCCAGCTGCCGTGCCACCATGTCTTCTGCTTCTTGTGTGTGAAGGGAGCGTCATGGCAGAGCAAACGCTGTGCTCTCTGCCGACAGGAAGTACCGGATGACTTCCTCGAAAGGCCAACACTGCTCTCTCCAGAGGAGCTAAAGGCATCAGCAGGAGGCAGGGGCGGAGCAGCAAACGACCATGCCTGGTACTATGAGGGACGAAATGGATGGTGGCAGTATGATGAGCGAACCAGCCGTGAGTTGGAGGACGCTTTTTCTAAGGGCAAAAAAACTGCTGAGATGCTCATAGCTGGCTTCTTGTACGTAGCCGACTTGGAGAATATGGTGCAGTATCGACGCAATGAGCATGGTCGTAGACGAAAGATGAAAAGGGACGTTTTAGACATCCCAAAAAAGGGTGTTGCTGGACTGCGCTTGGATACTGACAGTGTTTCTGGGGGAGCTGGAGCAGTAGGAAGAGAGAGTTCAGCTGATGGAGCAGATACAGCGTCAGGTGTACAGCCGCAGCTCATTGCTCCACCCCTCCCCCTTACTGTGAGACCCCCCACTTCACTCGGGGCTCAACCTGGAAGCAGTAGCCCCTCTCTGGAGGACGCTCTGTCTCAGCTGCAGATCAGCCCTAGACCCACACCTTCACAGGAGCGCTCAGAGCCAGGAGAAGGAGAGGAAGAGGAGGAGGAGGAGACTTCACCCTCCAGATCATCAGAGCCACACACATCTGTGGACGAGTCTGGCTCCGGAGACTGGAGTGACGACGAAGAGGAAGATGAGGAGGGTGGGGAGGGAGAGCATGTGGAACCCTGGGAAGGGAGGCCGAGAAGGCAAAGACTGAGCCCAGAGGACAGAGTCCCTCCTGGGGCTGACTCCACATCTCCTCCTCCTTCAAATCGGAGGTCTAGGATGCCTGATGGCCAGTGTACAGTGACTGAAGTATAACCACTGATTGACAAATGTTCCCACTCATTAATTTATTCTTTATTTTGCTGAATCTGTCACAGAGCTGATGTGGGTGGATTGCTTAAGTTGAAAAATTACATCTGACAAGTTTTCTCTACTAGTAATGTGAGTGTACTCCAAATACCAGGGCAGGTTGATGCATTATGAAAACAGGTGTAATGAGATGTAACTACTTGTATACTGTTCTATCTATCTCACTAGGTGGGATTAACAGAATTATCATGGCAATTGCACAATCATTCTGCTAACTTTAAGCCATTTCATCATACTCATATCTGACCTGTTTTGGTGTTACAGCTATGCCGCCTCTTCACGGTTATGAATTGAAATGTGTTTTATGATTAGTGCTAGTTACACTCAGTAACTTAGAAACAGCATAAATGATGTTCTTCACAGAAATGGAACGGTGAATAATAGAGTTGTAGTTGTACACTCTTTCAGCGAACATGAATATGTGTGACAACTGCAAAGATTAATTTGTTTCTTATCTACTGTCACTTGATTCAAATGGAAATGGTTGTGTAACATTTCATTCTAATAATTTTTTTGGTTTGACATAATAAGGTAGTTTTGTTGTTATCCCATACATTTTTTCTACTTTATCTTAAATGCTGCCTCGATGTTTTAAAAATATTTGACCTAATTGATTTCAACTTCAGAAATATTTAGTGTTTAATTACTAACAGAATGTGAACATTTTTACACTTGCCTTTTAACATGACTTTGTCATTATTCTTTACTCTGAGGCACAGCCTCTTGAAGTTTGCCCGATGTGAAATTGCATTAAATTGAAGTGGTTTTATCAATTTGAATGTGCCTGTTTGAAGAGAGTTGAACAACACCTTGTTGACAATTGCATTGTCTTTATTTTATTTTGAGTAAACCATATTTTTGTGTTGTTAATGTAGCTCATTTTAGAACAGTGCAAACATTTTTGCCATTACTTAGACTTAAATGTTCTTTTTATTTTTGTTCTACATGCTTTGAATGCAAATTAATAAAATGGTGTAACAGTTGCTTGCTTCTCCTGTAAATTCTCTCCACTAAATCATCATCAATCTTTAATCCTGCTTATCTGCTGTTCAAGTTATTGTCCTCCTTACAACCATGTCACGATAACATGATGACCTACAGTTACAGGTCTGACAAATCATCATAACTCTGGGCAACAATGCTAATGTTTACTATGCCAAATAACAGAAAAGATATAAATTGATAATCCTAGAAATAGGTTAACCATAAAATGTTACTATGTTGACATTTAATAAAAGTAAATATATGGAACTGCAGCAGCATTTCTGTGCCAACTCCAAATAACACTGCGCTAAGTAAACCTCATCTCTGTCCAGTGCTACATTCTGTCTTAAGTGTTTAATATTGCCACAAATCATTACCACAATCAGAGCTGAGGAGAGACAGCTTCTCATGTGACACATGACACCAAAATATTCATCTATCGTATATCAAATTTAATCAATTTGCGATTTACCTACAAAAAACTAGCAAATAATTAAAAGGCAAAGTTGGTAACAAATAATAAATAAAGTTATAACAATAAATGGTACGTTTAATAGAGTATTCACTTTATTTAATATTTCTAAAACGTATGTCCCAGCATTGGATATGATGCACAAATTGTTAATGTTTACCTTTCACTCCCAAAATCCCAGCCTCTGCAGCATAAATCGGTGCCAATGCAGCTAACAGTAGCTAGACCCCAGTGAATTAATTCAGAAAGTTTTGAGTTTTCCAGTATGGTCTATCTATAGTATTATCTATAGTCTATAGTACACTGAGAATGAGCAAAACTTGTGTTGGTATCCTCAATATGCAAGTTAAGGCACAGGCAACCCAGGTTCAGTTGTGACTGCAATACCATTTTTAAACCAGTATGAGCACATCCTACATACCATACCATTAAAATGAGTTGATCCCTCTCATTTATGTTTCAATTTGCTGGCTAAGGCCTGCAAATTAGCTTGACCGCCCCACACAGTGCCAAACACTTCTTTCTCAATCCTCAGAGCATCAGAAAGAGGAAGCTCTCTCCCTGATATTACTACCTTTTTCACAGCTTGAATTACAGCAGGAGGACCTTTAGTGCAGTTATTCAGCCACTTTTCGGTCTGCTGTAGCAATGTCTTTTGGTCTTGAACATCTTCAAGTACATCATCTGCTAGACCAATCTGTAATCCTAGTTTAGCATCGACTTTGATGGCGCCCCCAAGGAGCTTTAGGGCATTTCGAGGTCCAACCACACGCACAAGTCGAGCAGCACCGCCCCATCCTGGGACCAGACCCATGTGTTTATGGACAAACTGGACAACACTGCCTTGAACCATTAGTCTGTGGCACAGCAAAGAAATAAGGTTAATTCAAAACTATTGAGCAACACTTTCATACTGAAGGCAAATTTATGATCACAAGATGGTAATATGATTAGCAATTTTTATTTCATGTGATATTCAGGGTTGTATTTAAAAAAAATAAGGCTAACAAGTGGTCATAAACTTATACCATATCAGTGCATGCAGACCTTACACAAAATCACAGGCTGTCACAAGCTCTGCTCCTCCTCCTAGAGCCTTTCCTTCCACAAGAGCCACTGATAATAGTGGCAACCTGTTCTGAGAGAATACATATGAATTAGAGATGCGCGGATAGCGGTTACAGCCGCGGACTCCGCGGCTAAACTGCAGGTCAGGCAGATGACTTGATGAAAAATAATATTTTAATTAAATTCGGGCGGGTGGCGGTTTCACTACTCAAATAAAAAACTCTGAACTCGGAGCAACTGGGAGGAGACCGAGCGGATGGCGGACGGGTGCAGTTTTGAAAACTGAACAAAAACTGTGGTTGCAAATGGATAGCGGGCAGATGATGAGTTTTGCGATGTGGTTGCGGATGAAAAAGTAGCCCATCCGCGCACCTCTAATATGAATTAAGTAAAATATGCAATTTTCCAGAATGGATTGAATAAGTCACCTTTGTAGTCTTGTAAGTGTATTCTGCATGAACATACACATCTTCATCCCATCCTAAGAGTCAAATAATTGAGGGAAATTAGAGTGTAAAAATGTACAGGAAAAAGTGTAAACATGATTTAAGTATACTTTTTAACCTGTGGATTTGCTATTGCTCTGACAGCATTTAAATCTGACCCAGAGCAAAATGTTCCTGCAGCTCCATGGACAATAAGGCCTTTACCATCGGGCCAGTTCTCTAGCTCTGCCACTCTTTCCTCCAGATCCACCATCATACTGCCTAAGAGAAAAGTTAAGAACATAAGTTATAAGCAGAAAATCAGAACATTATCTTCAACACTGCATATGTAGCCTAATCTTACCTGTGAATGCATTCATCCTTGAAGGGTTGTTAAGTGTTAAGAAAGCTATCCCAGAATCTTGTTTGTACAAATCAATGGAGCCCCCAGGAAAGTCCAGCAGCTTCTCTTTGATCTCATCTGGGTTGAAGCCATGTGTGCTGGAATAAACCCATCCACTGTTGTGTCTTTGAGATAGTCTGGTGTAAACATTAAAATAAAACATTAAAACTGTAGTTACATTTGCTTACAAGCATAAGATCTATAGAAAGGTGCACATATAAAACATACCAGCTTAGAAAACACTGAATGTTAAAGAAAAGTAATGAATGTGTAGTTGGTCTATAACTACCTGGGCTACAGGACACAGAGGAGGGACACTTTTGGCTCTTCCTCTCCTCAAACTGTCCCGACACAGATCTGCTGGCCCTGCCTGACCAGTCCTCTTGTTAAACTGCACTGAGACTTTTGACTGAGACACAAAGGCAACTGAGAAGTGCAGTGTAAATGTTGCTGCAGCAAAACTGGAATTTCCCTCAGGATCAGTGTATCTATATTATGTGAGTTTGATGTTCACAGCGGTTGTAATTAGGGCTGGGTATCGTTAAGACATTGTCTCTATACATAGGCCACCAAATGACACGTCTCGATAGAGTGATCTTTCAGTTCGATACGATATATTTCAAATTGATTCGAAACGGTTCAGTAAAAAAAATAAAGGCTAAAACATGGCTGTGATACTAAAAGTCTTTGTTAAACCATTTCTTGTGCAAAGTTCATATGAAACACACCATTTTACTCATCAAAACAGTGACAAACAAACAACAACTGTAGCACTGTAACAAAATCATTTAGTAAAATATATCAAAACATTCTCTTGGCGATATATTGATACAGCAGCCCATGATATTGATACTTTATCATCACATTAAACGATACAATATATCGATATTTAGATATTTTTGCACACCCTTAGTTGTAATGAAGTCCTTACATGGCTCTGGCTCCAGGGGCACTACAGCTCCTCAGTAGCACCCTCACAGCACAAAGTACCATCCTGTTGTCTCTGTGAAGGACCTAGTGACATAAAGGTCATGTAGAAATCTTTTTTAGCAATGCACTTCATAGCAATGTGATTCATAGTCTGGATTCCAGATAACTGATCATTAATATCCGCACTAGCCGTATTGATAAAAGCCTACAGAGCACAATGGTTGATAGCCAAACACAAGCAGTGTCATATGATGGGTTAAATTACATCATGTTGCCGAATGATGATGAAAATATGTAACTATCAAGTTCAAAACAAATGACACTCACCTCAGCAGCCGCAGAGCCGATGTGCTACTCTGAAATAATTCCCACTAGAAACAAGGTCAAAGCAGAAAGTATAGGACGTACATGAATCATCCACAAGAGGGCGCCACAACACACAGGAATCTGTCAGTGAAGTATACACATACTACAACTTGGCCCAATAATAAACATACATTTAACATTTTTTTTACACTGTGTTGTAGGTAAAATTGGTAACTGACTCTAAGCCGGATTTTGTACTAACAATTAGGCCTATGTTAGTTTAAATGGAAATCTGTCATGAGCATCAATATTTATACAAAAAAAAAAAAAGCAGTAATAGTGTAATAAGTCTGTGCAATGTGCTAGACTAAATAAAATGGAGGAGTGCTATATTCCGAGCAGGCTGAGACGCTTCCTGACCTGTGGGTTGCTCTGTGGCTGTGGGGCATAAATCCTTCAGTGCTCTCCACACATCCTCTATTCACAGCCATGTATATCTCTGCGAAAACACATGTGCAACTAAGAATATTTTACTGCCTTGTTGCTTGGAACCTTCAGGGTTTACTTGTAGATTATGGAAGCAGACCAATATAATCAGCATTCATTCTTTTGAAGTAGGCAATAAACCTACATAAGCAAACAGGTGAAGAGAGGTGTGGCTGAACATAAGGGTTTTGTTTTAAAAATATTAAATTATGTAAATTCTGTTATAAATGAAGCACAACATGATAAATGTTGATCTATTCCAGATGTAGACCTATGTTATGAGTTATATAGGGGATTCTTTAGACTATATACGAAAGCACCATTGATAACCTTTCAAACTATTTTGTATGTATTTGATGTTTGACATTTAACTATGCTCTGTACTCTGCACTTAATGATTTTGCAGATGATTGCTTTTTTGTGAGGTGTTCTTTCATCCATGTGCATGGAAACAATGTGGTGGGTGACAGACTTATGTGAGCAGAGCCTCTGGTGTCTATTTAAAAGTGAGGAATCCAGTGAGGTCAATGGGACAGTGCAGTTATTTCAGACAGGCAGGTTCTTCCTCTCCATACAGTACATACAGCTTACTCAGCTGTGGCCTGCAACCTGTGTCTGAGTGTCACTCTGACCTGAGGACAAACTGGGGGCTCGTCCGGGATCATAATACTCTATCCCATCCATCCATCCATCCATCCATTTTCGTCCGCTTATCCGGGGCCGGGTCGCGGGGGGAGCAGCCTAAGCAGGGACTCCCAGACTTCCTTCACCCCAGACACGTCCTCCAGCTCCTCCGGGGGGACCCCGAGGCGTTCCCAGGCCAGCCGAGAGACATAGTCCCTCCAGCGTGTCCTGGGTCTTCCCCGGGGCCTCCTCCCGGTGGGACATGCCTGGAACACTTCCCGAGGGAGGCGCCCAGGAGGCATCCGGAACAGATGCCCGAGCCACCTCAACTGGCTCCTCTCGACGTGGAGGAGCAGCGGCTCTACTCCGAGCTCCTCCCGTGTGACTGAGCTCCTCACCCTATCTCTAAGGGAGCGCCCAGCCACCCTGCGGAGGAAACTCATTTCGAGCGCTTGTATCCGCGATCTCGTCCTTTCGGTCACTACCCAGAACTCATGACCATAGGTGAGAGTAGGAACGAAGACTGACCGGTAAATCGAGAGCTTCGCCTTTCGGCTCAGCTCCCTCTTCACCACAACGGTCCGATACAGCGACCGCATCACTGCCGAAGCTGCACCGATCCGTCTGTCAATCTCACGTTCCGTCCTTCCCTCACTCGTGAACAAGACCCCGAGATACTTGAACTCCTCCACTTGAGGCAAAGACTCCCCACCCACTCGGAGAGGGCAAGCCACCTTTTTCCGGTCGAGAACCATGGCCTCGGACTTGGAAGAATACTCTATCCCACCTCAGTAAATTGGTAATGATTAATAGGTTTCTATTAGGTAAGTTTTTCAATTGGGTTTTTTGAAATTTTAAATTTGGTGCTTGGTATATGGTGATTGGGTGGTGGAACGGGTGCTAATTTTGTCTGTGGCTAATGTTTGGTGTCAGTTATGTGTGTCTGTTTGAGTGTGCTCCAGGTGTGGTTTGTGTCCGGCCTGATCACCCGTTCACACACCACCTTCTGAGCTTCTCTCTTTCTCCAGATTCCTTGGGATGCGGCTTGGTTCCTAGTGCTCCTGGCCCGTCTCATTGGAGTAGTGGAACAGCTAACACTGCTGCCTGAACTGTACTCTGGTGACCTATAGCCCTGGCTCATGCACTGCCTTACCTTCCACCTTTCAGTCACCTGCTCCCTTAGTAAGAATAACGCCAGTCACTTTTTTTTTTTATTACAAAACTAGTTTGTAACTTAAGGGGGAGGGTGTTATGGCCCCAGGCCTTTGTTCCAATTTGTTTGTGTGACTTTTTTTGCCAAGTTCTCCTGATTCCTGCTGTAGGAGCCCTGGTCCGTGATTGGTGGGGCAGGTCGACGCCCACCTCACCTGCAGCCACCTCCCCCTATTTAAGGAGATTACCAGCACCTGTTCGGGGCTGCTGGCCTTGGTGGCCAGTATGCCATTTTGTTTTGTGTGTGTGTAGTTTAGTTTAGTTCTGTTTTGTGCCTTTTTTGATTTGGTCACTCGATTCTGTTTGTGGGTTTATGTGGTTTAATTTGGGGAACTTGTGTTTTAGTTTAGTGTGTGTCCCTAAGTTTTACCACTCGTTTTTTGTAAACCTGCGTGACCCATTTTCTGGCACAAAACTGTTTATTCTGTTGTTCTGTTTCTTAGTTTAGGTTGCTTTCTGTATATTTTTTGTGTTTTGTTAATTTACCTTTACATTCCTGTTAATTAAACATTATTTAATTTATTCCATTTTACATCTTGGTTTTATTTTTGTTACTTCCCTCACCCCAAACGAGCTGGGTCGTAACAAATTACGAAAAAAAAAAGTTATATTTCTTATTGGTTTATTTTAATCATTATAGTACTTAAGTGGATATAGAAATTGTAAATTGTATTACAGTATATTATCCCTCTACCTTAAATTCTTCACAAAGTGTGTTTGCATGTTGTCTCAAGATATTCTGGTTCCCCCACCAACCTAAAACATGCATAATAGGCCAAAAACTTCAGCTAAGTTGTCCTGACCAAGCCTACCTCAAAATGGGTCTGTGGGACTGCACTGGTAGATCAACATTTACATCAACAGTAATTTTGGCTTAGACATAATGAGACAATAATAACACATAAGATGCACTTGCCTATAATATTATATTAATACTATTTGAGTTATAATTTTGTTTGAAGTGAACCCTTTAGTTAAGTTGGCTACATATGCAGACTGATAACAGGAGCTGGTCCAATTACAGCCTTCTGATGTGATGGGACATGTGTCTTTTTGAGTGGGTATTTAACACACTGTGGAGCTGGAAATCTGTATACACACTCACATCATGAAGACCTGCCCCCTTTATGGATACAAAAGTCAAGTCCACGATGTGAATCAGTTAATAGGTTGAGGTTAAGCATGTAATAACCATCATTAAGGTGAGGATCAGGAAATCAACATCACTGCATTATCCCCAAGAAGTATGGAAATCAAACATGTGCTGGCCCTGCTCTGATGCACCCACATACCATTCGATATGCAGCTGTTTGGGACTCCACAGGAAGTGAGGGAATGTGCTGCAGTCAGCGTGGCTCCAGACCTGTGCCCAGATAAAACACACACGTCACTAGCAGTGTAAGTTCAAAGCAGAGGGATGCAGGTGCCAGACTCTCAGAGGGGCTTCAAAGAGCCTTGTACAAATGAGAACAAATGAGGATTGTCTTCATGGTAAATGTTAAAGATACAGAAGATGAAAAATCAATCTGTACACCAGGTATGTGGCTACATCCTAAAATAGAGTGAAGAAACATGACTGTTGACTTTTCTCTTCAGGAAATGTTACTATGCCTGTATTAGTGTACATTTGACAGATTTTATACTGGATGCCCTTCCTGACACATATCTTTCCATTTGTCTGGGCTTGGATCTTGCACAAAGAATGCACTGACTTGTTCCCACCATATGTACATGATTTTGCATAAAATACATAATAAATGAATATCTAATCTCAAATCATGACACTGTCAGAAAACTCTTAAGACTTATAATTAGCTGAAGACAGTGTGCAGTCTGATTTTGTCAAGTTATGCTGTTACTATACACCTTTTTAAGGGAAAAACTGAATTTACTCATTTGTGAGAAAAAAAAAGCTAGTACTGCAATTTTAAAGTTGTGTCAAAACTGGATACTGAATGTTTTCAGCATCTGGACAGTGGAGTGCAGATTGTGCCCAGACTGTTAAAACAGGAAAATGAAGTGACTGTAACCCGCGCCATTACTACATGAGGACAATATTTATATTTATATCATCACTAGGGTAGGATTTCTGGCACCACAACCTTATCACACCTGTTATTTCAGTCAGACTGCAGGTGCCAGGTTTCATGTTGAGGGTTGTGGTCCATCCCAGTCTACAGAGTTTGTAAACAGTAGTAGTGTCTCTATGGCACTGGCCAAAATCAGTCCATTCATCATAAACTAAAATAATTTCTAACACTCACTACTAACAAGTACTGTTATGCCCATGTAGAGAAAAAAATGGTAAAACTCAGGAACTGTTGCAGATTTAGACTTCAAATAGCTGTCCAAGTGATAGATCACAGTGTCATCAAGATGTCAAACATGGATTAAGATACATGCAGTATGATTGGTGAGGTCAAGAAGCATTTCATGTTGGCAAGTTATTCTGAGAAAAGAACGTGCAAAAACAGGTTCCTGTAGTGTGAGACCTAGTCCGATTCTGAAGCATTGTACCAATATAGTTACATCAACAGTGTGGAGAAACAATAGTAGATCAGACTATTTATTACACAAAGAACATCAAAGGCATCACTTTCATTATATTCAGCACTTTAGCCTGAAAATGCACTATTGTATGCGACCACGGGAGATTATTCAAAGTACAAAAAAGCCTTCCATTAAATGCTATGTAATGCACCAATGCAGACTTGTGTGTTCCAAACAAAAGAAAAATGCTTATAAATTCCAGCATCATGTGCAGTTTAAACATAACACAATAACAGACAGTATATTTAAATTCAAAAAAAGACACCAGCCTTTGGTACAGTTATACAAATCAAACTTATGTGTTAACAAAAACGTAACTCTATTTTTTTCTGTCAAAGGCAGGTACAGTCTACAGTGTGTGTAAAAATATGAAGTCAGAAGACAGTATTGAATAATGCAACACAGCAACATGTAATGAGTACTGGAAAAAACATTTGTGAAGCATATTCTGCTTCAGAATCCAACACATTGTAATGTGTAAATGGTGCATGGTATACCTGTAATGGTGCATACAATACTGAATACATTTACATCATATTGGATTTTATCTGGCCACTTGGATGTGATTGTGTGATATTAATAGGCAGCTGTATGAATGGAGAATCTATACAGTACTGTATCAGCAAGGCTACAATAGTCAAGGCTAAAAGTCCACACCTGAGTTGAAACTGAGATGCAGTGGATATGTTTGCTCCTTGGAAATACGCCTGGTTGATTTGTCACATTTTCTTGATGCAAAGCTGCTGCTAACAAAGTTCCGTTATTTTGGTCAGCTCGGCTCTTTTGAACTCAACACATTCTACAGCTATACATTGGTCATATCTCACTAAAGCACTTCAGTCTTTGAGTATTTCATATGTATATGTGAAAAAAACAAGTTCACAGTTTGTAGGTTCACTCAAGGCTTCTGGGTGGGTCAGATGATGACAGACTCCATATGAAAGGCATGTGAATGTGAAAATGAGGAGTGCTTTTGGAGGCTGAAGGAGGGCGGTGCAGGTGCAGAGGAGGAAAAAGATGATCTGGAGAAAGGAGAGCGGCCAGCCCAGCGTGAAGGCAGCCGCCGATTGGCCGGACATGCAGGTCTGGAGAAGTTCTTCTGCTTTAAAACTGAAGATGTGGTGGAAGACTTTTGGTTTTTCTGTAGAGAGACAAATATATTACCATTTAGGGTTTTCACACCATTCAGCAAACACAGGAGCACACAGATACGTTACATTTTGTTTCATCAGTCCCAACTGTAGACATCTTGATCCTATGAGAAACAACAAGCTTAGTTCAAATATATGAATAGTGGAAGGACTTGGGAAGTTGCAGCATTATTCCTGAGGCCACAGGAAACTTGGCTGGTGTCAGTACCAGGACTGCAGGTAAAATATGTAAAACATTAAGGTTGCTGCTCATCCTTTGATAAAACTGTATTATGACAAAAGGAAAATAGAAGGAATTTTATGACATTACACATTTACTGCATTAGGACCGGTTTTCTCTACATATTTAAATTACCAGTACATATTTGATTAATAATATGTATGTGTATTTATGAAAATTAAAGCTTTGTAATAGGCCAAGCAACTCATACATGCAACATTTTATAACTTTGAGACACAACCACAGAAGCCCATTTTCCTGGTCTACCAAGGGGATTTACTGGATTGGCTTCTTGTAGAGGTTTGATTGCAATAAAAAGAAAAGCACAATCGTTAACCCGAGTCATGGACAATATATGCCAAAACCCATTACTTAAGCCTTACAGCAGTGGAATGCCCCAGATGCCTAGATTATAATAGAGGCTTTGGCCTGCTTCTGTCTGCTCACACATACTAGAAATAAACAACATTCCCATCAGAAGTGTCCTCGGCCAAGGGCATTTCCTTTGTCAGTGTTAAAGAACAAAATGTGCAAAGTCTTCTATTTAAAGTGCTGTTTCAAGGCAATTCTCTTTATTATATCTCCTTTTTTTTTACTGAAGATGAATTATTATTATTTTATTAATTTCAGTGTGGTGTTGAAATTGTGAACCTAAGCTGAATATATAGTAATACACTAAACCCACCTGCAGATTCACTTGAATTTCCTTGAGCTCGAGGACCTTGTGGGTGCTGGGAGAGCGTGGCAGAGTCTCTCTGATGAACAGAGGAGTAGGCACAGAGTCCGTGTCCAGCATGTCCAGCTCTCGCTCGCCCTTCTCTCTCACACTCAGGTTGGGACCGGAGCCGGTTTCTATTTGGTTCATGCTTTTGGCTGCAGTCTCATAATTCTTCAGTATCCTCTCCACTGCTCCATAGTTGGAGCGGGAGCCCTCGGGTCGTGGGTAGGCTGCCAGTGTAAGGGGTTTCCAGGGATGCTCATTCATCATCCGGAGCCCTGGCCGGCAACAGTCAGACAGGACAGACACATGCTTTGGCTGCACTTGCTGCCCTCCTGTTGGCCTCAGTTTGTTTTCAGCAGAGGGCTGTGGGGACACTGCTGATCTGGGCTGAGGCTCCTCTTCATGGTCGCTCTCGGAGCTGGAGGAGTCCACGCTCAGCTGCACATTTTCAGACATGAGGCGCTCAGAGCAGTGAGCCTCTGTGGTTGCTTTGATTTGAGTTTTCCTGGAAGGACTGAGCTTGACCTCAGAGTAGCACTCAGGCATTTGTGCAGGTTTTGTGGTGTGCTCCTGTTGTGCTGCTTGTAGCTCTTTGGACAGTAGATCATGGGTTTCTTGCTCTATCCTGACTGGTTGACCTCTTGACCCATACCTGCTCTGTGCTGGAGCCTCTGGGCTATGCATTGTGATATCTGAGAAGAAGAAAGAGTGTGTGATGTTGGGTTCAACTCCAAAGCAGTGATTGGAGACTTCAGAGTAGTGTTGCTTTAACTGGGTTTCCCTGGGAAGCAGCTCCTCACCTGAGGCAGTACTTGTTAACAGCACTTGTTGGCAGAGCACAGGGGTGAGATCAGGAGGTAAGAAAGTGTCCTGCTCCTCTACCCCACGGCCCATCTCTGCCTGAAAGAGACACCGGTTGAACTCTGCGGTTTTCTGCTCCAGTGTTATGTTTCTTTTGGAGCCCTGCAGGACAGGGTTGGCAGGAGATATTTCCGGAGCATGGAGGAGCATAGGAGTCTCTATCAGAGGCGGAGATTTGGGATGCACTTCTTGGCTTTTCACATTAGCACCAGTAAGGCTGTAGTCCGTGCCCATCTTTTTAGCAGCAGTCACAATGTTGACCTCAGAGAAGCTCTTCTGAACAGTTCCATATGAGGACACCTTATTTGTGAGCTTACTGGCATCACAGGACCAGCGGTTATGACAGCAGCTGACATTACAGTTTTGGTTGGCAGGTACAGAGCACGAAGATACTGTCCCATCAATCAAAACTTTTCCTTCATTTTCCTGAAGCATGGCCTCAAACTTTCTCACAATGGACGGACTGGTACACTTCCTGTCCACTACCACACAGGGGCTGTGGCATTTCCTGGCTGGGACTATAGGAGACTCTGGCATGTTCAGATCTGCATCTTGTTGAGAGCTCAGATTCCAGGACGAAGAGCGAGGTGGGATGGGAGGGGCTGCCGAGTCTATTTCCGACAGAGTCTCTGGACTGACGATTGGCTCTTGGTGGTTGTCTGGAGGAGAGGGGCTGGTTTTCCAGGATGACCCAGGTCCAGAGACTGATCGCCATGTGTTTTCGGGCGACAAGATGGCCCAGTGCTCCCTTTCTAATGCTCTGAGTTCATCATAGATTTCATTGAGGTCACATGGTTCAACCACATCTGGTCTAGGGTTACTATAGGACAGTGACATTTCTCTCTCCTCTGGGTGACTTCTGAAAAAAATAACAGATAATATTATTTTGAGCTAAAAGCATATATAAAGGTATCTGCTGGATAAGATAGATATTGTTACCTGTTTTCTCCACTCTTTTGCCTAATCTCTTCTTGGTAGCTACACAGCTCCTCACTGACACGTGCAATCTCCTTCAGAGCCTAGAAGGGAAAAAATGTAACATTATGTATACTATGAAGGGTTGGTAATTTTTAAAATACTAAAACGGATAATGTATTTCTATGTATAAATATGAAAGCAGAGCATTTGGAAAACTCACAGCATTAAGAGCAGTGGTGTTCCGTTTTTTCTCACTGCCATAATTCAGCTCTGTCCATGGAGCATTTTGTCTCTGATTCTGATGGACACTTTCATTCTCTTTGGCAATGGGTTTATGGGACTCTGCACATCCATGGCGCAGTAAAATACTATCCAAATCCTCTGTATCTATGACTCTTCTCTGAGAGGCTGCATCTTGCTGCCAAGTCCCACTCAATCTCAGTTCCTCCTCATAAACAGTTTGTCCATGATCATGTGTGTCCGTGTGGTAACCAGTAGACTGGTGAGTGTCGCTGTCCCTGTTGAGTTTGTTATTACTGCCAAATCCAGTAAACAGTGTTGATCTTTGCTCTGATTGGCTGCTGCTGCTCAGGAAGCTGGAGCCAGTGCTAGTCGAGGGGATGCTGAGTCTGCGGGCAGCGCTGTTATCATAGTGTTTTCTGATGTCCAATCCAGTCCCTTCTCTTTTGGCCCTCACCTCACAATACAACTACAAAGAAAAGAGAAGTTTTGTAGTTTAAATGAAATAATAATTATAACACTTCTTAACCACCCATAGAAAATAATATAGCCACAAATTAAATAACTCAAAGATATATACCTATACATTTCATCCAAATGATAACTGAATCAAAATAGCATTGGGATTTTTCAATTACATTAATTAATTACACACAAACACACACACCACTCTCAAAACATCCTAATGTAAAAAAAGAACAATGGAGACATTCCACGGCCACTTCCCATTCATAACGTGCAGCTGTATTGCTGCAGCCATTGTTTATTTGGTGCACAGGAAATTTCAAGAAAAAGATGACAAATGCGATCAAAGAATCTAGGTTGAGCTAACATGTCACATACTAATATATTTTAAAAATATTAAAAACTATTAAGCTGTATGCATTTTACCTCTTCTATTTTCCTCTGCATATCTTTCAGCTGACATTCCCATTCCCTTCTCTCCACGTCAAATCTCTCCAACAGGTCTGCCTTCTCCCGTAGCCAGTCTCTCTCATTGTGCTCCAAACGGCAGCGTAGGTCCATAGCTGTTGTGTGGGTATCCGCCAAAATCCTCCTCTGCTCCTCTCTTTCCCTGCACAACGATTCGTCCGGATATTTTTGAGGACTTTGCAGTACTCCTCCAGCCCCAAGACCTGCTGCTGCTGCTTGAACTTCTCTGTTTGTCAACCGAGAGCTTTCTCTAGATTCCAACTGCAGGAGTAGACAATAGAGAAATTAACATATGGGAAGTATTGCCAGTGTGTATGAATATAACTACATGTAGTCAAAGATGTATTGTTCAAAGTGGAATTAAGAGAATGAAGGAGTGGCAGGATGTGTGAGAATGATGAGCCAGAGGGACAAGTGTGAGTGGGTTCATCACAGGGAAGTGTTTAGAGAATAGAGACATGAAAATACCCCGCACTTATGTATAAAGTTCACTGGCTCAGGGCTGCAGACTCTCAAAGGTCTCATACTAACACCGGATACAGCTCAGGATGCATCCCATTTCAGGCATGTCAAAATATGTGTGGACAAAATCTATGTGGCCTCAATCCAGTGGCTGTATTTTACTACTCCTTTCTCCAAAACACATATTATCAAAGAATATGCAAGATGTTATGAAATACTCTGGATGTAAAAGAGCCAAGCCTTAGATATGGAAAAAAGGGAAATTCTCTTAATTAGACTGTCATTCAAACTGCATACTCAAAGCAAGTGTTTTTAAAAAACAAACATTTTTGGTGCCAAAAAATAAAAAAATAAACTGGCTTGTAAATTTAGAATGCTCACATGACATGTGTAAGTTGTAGCATGATATGAAGAGGCCAGAGTGTGTTATTTGAGTGTGCAGTCTACAGACATGGACCAAAGCCTTCTTACAAGCCTCAGTCACGGTGCTATTTCTGCCTGTGGCCTTGGGTCAAAACTATGGTGCAGAAAAACAACTCTGTCTTTTCTGTCTGTGCAAGGGTTCACTTAAAACTATGCATAATTACATATAGACGATGATGGGTGCTGTCCACAGTCTATTTAAGCATGAACATGTAAACAAGTGCACAATGTACACAAACAAGAAGGAAAATTCAATCCAGTTGGAACTGCAATGCAATGCAAGACTAAACTGATGAAGACCAAATAATCTGGTATCTTCATTCTGTCACACGATTAGACAATTTAATTATTTATATTACTATCCCAAGTCTAGATAAATGGATTTTGATAAAAATAACAGATGCAAGAGTAATTGTAAAGTAATTTCCTGCAGTCGAAGAGGCCAATGATTTGCTGATGTGACCCATGGAAGTGAAAGGGCAAAGGATAACGACAAAGGTATTGTCTTCTCTGAGACAGAGATCCAACACTGGTACAGATGGGTTAATAAAGTGTGTTGTTTTAACTTGAATCCACAGTGCTACTTGGACCACCCTCTCTCATATGGCACAAGGTATATGCGGGTAACTGTGTCAGTGACCTCCTATAAATAGTGGGCATGCAGCCTTATACAAAGTCACATTCCTCGGGGAGGTGGGAGCTGAGGTAAAGGCAACAGGGCAGTCACAGCTGAAACAAAGTGAGATGTCTCTTAGCTGCCAGCAGTTTTGCTAGAAAAGAGACATAAAGAAATATATGACTGGAAATACCCAGGCCAAGGTGTTTTTGAGTTGTAATCACAGTGGTGAAATCATACGAAGTTTGTGGTTTTGAGAAAGAATGACAAAACTAAATTAAAATAAACATCTACATGGGTGGAGCAGTTAAAGGATGAATATTGCATAGGAAATGTGAAATACAGCCATATACACCAAACTTGGTCATATCTGTATCAAGGTTTAAGTTGTTGTCATGTCCCTCCACTTCAGGGGAAATGGGAGATCCTAACATCAGTATGTCTGAGATCTCTGCCTTCTTTGTGTGAGTGTTACAGAGTAAAGCCTTTCTGAAAAATGAGGACACTGTTCTGAAAATGACAGTGAAGTTTCTCACCTATGGTAGAATTGTTAACATCTAACAACCAGAATGAGTGTAGCATCTATATACTATGTCAGGTGAGCTTCAGATATTTGCATCCAGTAACAAATTACTGTGTTTTGAATTTTGAGAAACATCCCAAAAGTAGCTTGTAGTAAACATGCACTCTTATAAACAGCACCAGGATGTAGCATCAGAACAAAACAACTTTTACAATGGATTAAACCACGCCTGCTGTGGCTACACTTCAAGTCACATTTTCCTGGCCTGTTTGTGCAATCACTTCAGACATCTAAGTTCTGCCAATGTGCATAGCAATGTTTCCTTTCACATGAATTAAGCTGTAGTGTTTACACTAAAGCGAAATTTACATGCATAAAGTATTCATTTAGTCACTCCAAAAAGTACCAGTGCTGATTTAAACAACTGAATGCCCATGGGCACCTCAATATTACACTGTTATTACAGGGAATTATGTACAGTGTCATAGCAATTGCAGTAAAATTCTTTAGGCAAAACAAACATAGCAAATGCCTCTCCAGCTAGACTTTGATAGACAAGACGAGCAGTGAGACAAGACTATGAGATGTATGTATGTGTTGGTCTGGCATGTTTCAGTGCAACAGCATCATTTTAGACATTTGCAGGTAAATATCACAGACAGGAATCCCATCTCAAATCTAGACAAAAAACTATAACCTGACAGAAGAACAAAATGTGCATTGAAAGAGTCTTAAAACTTCTGATAAAAATCAAACCAATGGGATTAAAAGTCAAAGAACATCTAATCATCACAGAACATCAGGCTCAGATTTAAGGCGGATACCTTGCCCATCCACTGAACCAGCATATTCAGCCAGACAGACAAATAAATAAATGTACAGGGTCTTATGTAACCAGATTACTTTAACAAAAGACTGGGTTTTGCATGTATGTTCAAAGGATTTTTATAGTCCTTGACACAGCATAGCACTGGTATGCAAGCAAGCTTTACATATTGCTAAGATCTTTATACTAGCTTATAAGCAAGTTGGTTTAGTTTTATATTTAGTGGGTAAAATGGAGAAATTATGTGTGGGCATATATTATGCCTAAAAAGGTTATTTATTTTACATACAAACTTGGCTTGTAGCTGATCTGCAGCTCACTATGTCTAAACTGCTACCATTGTCCATACATTACATCAGTCTCTTACCTGTGCAATCCTGCGTTTAAGCTCAGCCTTCTCCAGCTCCCAGGAGCACCTGTCTCTGGTGTACTGCAGCTGTAACTCACTCCTCTTCTCCTCCTCTCTCTTCACCTCCACCTGCACCTCCTCCAAAACCGTCTTTAGATCCAGCAAAATCCTTCTATTCTCACCTCCCTACAAAACCAACAAAAAGCAACAAAATTAACAAATAGTGAGTTACTATAAAAAGAGTATTAACAACAAAAATAAATAAACAGGATTTTTCCTAAAGCAACATCTGACAGATCTGATATTGATGCATACTTGTATATTTGCTACTTCTCTCAATAATGACTCTTTCTCTCTCATCCATTCTTCCTTGTCTTCACAGTGACGCTTTTTGAGTTCTTCAAATTTCTTCTTAAGCCGGGCGTGCTGTGTTTGCTGCTGTGGCTGGGGCTCTGGCCCTGACCACATTTGGCCCCTGAGGAGTTCAGACGGAGCCCCGGGTCCGTGCTCTGCTCCTGAAGTCTGAAACTGCTGCTCGTAGATCTGACTGAAGACAGTGGGTGGAGAAGAGATCCTCTTCAGAGGATTACGGTTTTTGCCTTTGCCTCTGTCTGCCTTCTCCATCCTGGAGCAGGGCACAAACTCCCATCCCTGAGACGGGACATAACCCCCACCAGCACCGCCCCCCGCGTGAAGTCCAGAACCATTCATAAACGCGCTCCACATTTCTCATAAAGAGGGAAAATTAAAATTAGTCGCCAAAACTGATTCCCATGTCCGATTTATTAAACTACAAAAGTAAACGAAACGCGTGCTTTCCAGTAAAGTAGGCTTATTCCCTTATCCAAATCCGACCAAGTCCTCCGGCTGTCCCAAGGCAGCTGTCTTTTCTGCAGTTTCGCAGTCAACGGGAAATGACACAGTATCCTTCATGTCTTTGCCACGGAAAGATCTTTATGCACCAAAATCCATTGTTAGCTTTCTCAGAGCTACGCACTAAAATCCGTTATTTGCGATCGCTGACCCTTTGCACACGCTTATTTCGTCTCCTCTCTGCGCGCAGCGTGTCATTCTTCTTTGAACTGAAAGCGACAGCCCGGAGCTGACGGGGACAGCAAGACCCAGCAACCACTTTAACGCGATGGGAGACGGTCCCAAAATATCGTCTAGCACACTGGTATATTTTTACCCCTTGTAACCAGGAGTTTATTTTTCTTAGCAGCATAGCTCACTGGCGTCAGGAAGACATGGCCCGATGTGCCAATTAATCAACACCCTCGTGTCGTGTGCCCAAGATCCATCATACCTGCCTTACGATGTTTCATATTATTTCACACAGGCCGAGGTGAGCCGAGAGTGAGACAACAGGCTAAATCTCAATCAGACAAACTATGAGCTAATACTGAAGTTAGCCCACCAATATCAAACACATACAACACTTAACCATGCGTAAAGTGCGAAATAATATTGCCTTATTACCAGTTTAACGGGAGAATGAAGACGAGAAGACTATGTCCACATGATTGGTAAACCTTCTCTTTAGAAAAAACTGTGCTATTAGAATAACTGCTGGATGACTGTCACGAGGCAAGCAAAGAATTGTGGGATATTATTCATTTAACAGATGAATCCAGGACTGGGACAAGCAAGGCACCGCCCCCTTTTACACTAAACTGTGCATGTCACACTACAGCTAACCCACTCTGCTCACTTTGTTTACCCAGTGCAGTCTCCAGACGTAATGCTTGACGCAACTATAGTGACAAACTTCATGCACCACGTGTCATTTGTCTTAAACCTACCTTTGCTTTTGTGTTGGAATGCAGTCCTGGTCTACATCTATTCAATAGGCTAAAAAGATTATGCTGTTAGTCTGAAACTGCAAGAGTTGAGGGGCACCAGTCTAAGTCAGAAATCATGCCGTCATTAGCAGAAATAAAACTGTGCTTTCCCCTCTTTTCTGCCTCTGTCCACAGCTGGCTCTAATATGTGACGTCAAACATCCCATGGTGGGATGAAAGGAGTGGACCAGTCCCGCCCCCGTACTTGGTCAGGTTCGCTGGTTTAACAGACCCAACATCAGCACATTTGGCTGGAGTTACAGACCCTGCCCAGAGTATTTTTACACTCTCCAATGTCATGTGATTTCAAAACACGATGGAAATATATACACACATTTTTTTAAATATTTATGAGTGTGATTTATATGGGGTACAGTTGCCCATACATTGACATTTCAATATATTATATTATATGTATTATTGTATGTATTATAATACATACATAGTTGTGTAATAACTTCCACAAAGCAACCCCTATAGCCCAGCCGAAATTATAAAGAAGAACAAGTTCTCTATAGATGAGCCATGATAAAAGAAGGGGTGTAATTATCATAAATAGATAACCCTTTCAGCAATGCATTTGTAATGTGCATAGTACAAAACTTTGTTTACTCACCCATTAACTTAAGAGCCAAGGTTGGGCTCTGGTATATGTTGAAGCATCTAAGTGAAGAGCAGCTCTTGGGTCAGGCGTAGAACATGATATGTGATGTGTTGAATATATGTAGGAAAAAAAAGTTAAAATGAAACCAACAAAAAAATCAACGTAAAGGGGGGGAAATGATTTAAAGAACAAAGAATAAAGTGAAAAGGAATACCAATTTAAAAATAGTGGCATAGGACAATGATGAAAACAAAACAAGGATGAGTATCAGCAGAATGATAGGCTGAAACATCTGGAGGGAAGACAAAAAAAGAGTTGCTACATTTATACAAATTAAGTTATAACTGACACTATTATTGATGGTATTTCCTTACAGACAGTGGCTCCTCAGTTTGTTGCGCTTCCTGTTTGGGGACATCGAGGCGGTCTATAAAGCTCTGTAGCTCTTTCCTGAAAGCCTTCATTTGAGCGTTGATCCGATACAACAACTCATGCTCTCTTATTCTGGAGAAGATATTCTTTGTGTTTAAACATGAAACTAAACACTGAACTTTTAACTTGTTTTATTTACCTGCCCCCCTCGTCATCCTCATCTAGTCGTCCAAACAGCTCTCCATTGGTGACATAGACTCGTGCCTCTGCGATGATAGTGCTAGTGTCATCTATGAGCCTGTCTATGGTCCTCCCCAGTCGCTCCGCCTCCATTCGAATATCTATCATGTGCTGCCGGTCCTTCAGACTACGGGATAAAAAACGACTGTCCACAGGTGAGTATAAGGAGCGTGTGGGTGTGAGGCAGCGTATATTCCTGACTTCATCTGAGTCACTCTCTCCTCCGATGGGACCCTCCCGTTTACGGTGGGGTGGGAGGAGACGGGGCGAGGAGGCAGAACAGGATGGAGTGTCATCGTCACGACCACCGTCACTGTCTGCATCACTGTCTCGAGGGCTGGCCCGAATGCCCAGGTGGGACGCCAGGTCATAGCGCTGCATGTTAGAGAGGAGCACGCGGTTCTCATACTGGAGCTGCATGACTTTACCGCTCAGCTCGTTGATCTGGAGACGGGCTGCTTTCAACTCCTCCTGTAGACCCTCCATCTTGGCAGGATCAGCCCCACCTGTTTTTTTTTTTTTTTATCAAACATATTTTATAAATGTTTGGACACAGATTAAAGGTGCACTATGCATCTTTTCTTGTATCCACGGAGATGTTATTGCTTATTGCTTAACTTATATCTACATGGAAACAAGCTGGAGACACCAAGGTATTTTTGAGCAAAATACATCTGTATTTGAATAGTTGCAAGATAGACATATTTAATGATATTTTAGTGATATACTGTGGTATAGTCAAGGCAAAGCAGTAACATTTCCAGGGAGACCACCAGAAACGTTACAGTTGATAAAAAGCTAAATCAAACAAACCTCCATGTCTTGACCCAGCTTCATGGGAGCCTGCTTTATATTTCAGTTTGTTCAGTTCACTTGTCACCTAAAACATGAGAAAAAATGTTATTCCCATAGTCAGTGCTGGTGAAAATACCTTGACTGCACTGTTAATTAATTTATTTTGGATGACTGTGAATCTCCCATTTCCCGGTGTATTCGTAAAACAAATATTTGAAAATGTAATGGTTTACTTAAACAACTGACCTTTTTGTTCTCTTCTTCTACATCAGCTAAATTCCTGCGGAGAAGTTCAGCCTCATCCTCCACCAGCTGCAACTGCTGCCTGAGTTCAGACAGTGCCTCCCCCTGCTCCCTGCACTGCTGCCCCCCAGTGCCAGAGCTGTCGACTCCTGCTGCAGCCAGACTATAGGACACAATGCACAAAGCATCCTATTTTATAGTTGTATATTAGTATATTAATTCATTTTGAAATGCTTTGCTCCAGTGTCTGTGTATACATGAATGAATTTGTGGATTTGAGGATATTGCTTTAGGTGGGATGAGACATAAACAAGAAAAGATTTAGGCATATTTAAACACATTTTGTTCATAATTATTATTTGTTGCGTTGTATTTTATTACACATGTCTTATTATAATAAAAACATTAGTTCCTAGGAAAATTCTGATGATGATTATTGCATTTGTCAGCTGTCTAATGTAACTTAACTGACACTATTTACAGATTGGTGCCAGATAAAAATATATACATCTCAAGATTGTTCTACTGAGAGATGATAACCTAGTGGTATTTTACCTAGCCACTAGATTGCTAATAAGAATTTAACAGAGCAATAAAATTAGTAGTTACATGTAGGCCTGTCACGATCATTACTATATCGTTCCATATATGAAAGATGGAACAATAATTTTTGAGGGTCAATATTTATTGTGGGTTCTTTTTCTTTGCACTAATGACACATTTTTGGTAATTTTTTGGCAATAGGATACAATTAAACTATAAAAGGTTGAATTAATAACTTCTATGACTCATTACAGATGCAAGTACTTAAGTGTTTCATTCTGCAATTTACTGAGTGCACCGCATTATTTTTTTAACAATATTGTAGATTTGGGATATTTTTTGTGGTATAAATCTGCTATTAAATTAGTTTCAATATTATCATTTATCGCCTATATATACTTCAGGAATATATTGTACTTAGTTATAAAATGTGTTATTGTGACAAGTTTACATACATGATTCCATTGTAATCTGACCATGCAGCAAAATGACTACAGAAGATCCGCAGTCTTATAGCCTACCTGTCTTCTCTCATGTCATCGAGCTCTGCCTTCAGCCCTCTGTTCTCCACCTCCAGCTCCACTATTTTCCTGCCAAGGATGTTTGCCTCCTCCTCTACCAAACGCAGGCGTAGCTTCAGCTCTGACTCGCGGGTGGTTGGAGGGCCTCCTGCTTCCCCTTTAGGCAGGGGGCTGTCCACATCTCCATAGAACGAGCGATATTTCTGCAATTCCTGCTCCAGTCTGTCTTTCTCCTTGTCAATCTTTGCCATCTTCTTTCTCATCAAGATGGCTTCCTCTTTGATCAGAGCTAGCTGGCATTTTAGGTCGTCATTTTCCTCCTGAAATGCAGAGTACAATATTTATGTCTGTTTTATTTTATTTTAGCCTTCTTACACTAAACTCTCCAGCTTGTAAAAATGTTATATGACTCTGAAACCAATCTCATTATGAATCAACTTTTATTGGACTGCAGTTTACAGATGCTGACTCACCTCTGTGGGCGTCTGAGGAGTCTTCCTGTCCACTTTCTGAACATCTTTACTTCCTTTCCGCTTCAGTGAAAGCTGCAATAATACAGTGATCACATGATAATCTTCAATAGCATCTTTCTTTACACAGTGATCTCATCCAGAGTGATTGTGAAAAAGTAAATCTAGAAAGTAATCTTAGGGTATGATAATACTGCATCATTATCAAAGGAGTCATGCAAAATTGACTTCAATCATGTTATAATGGGTCTCCCTCATCAAACGTTTACTCATGTTTGAAAAATCCTGTATTGTCATTGCAGCATGAGTGCTCAGACAATTAAAGTTTTACCCTACCCTTATCCTCACCACATCCCTGTACTTACTGTAATTGCAATTATTCCAAAAATGTAGACTCATGATCATTCACAAATGTTCAATTTATTTTTTTGTTTTTGTTTTTTATGGAAACAGTGTCATAAAAAAGCATGGTATGTCTTCTTGAAGTGGTAAAAAACATTGTTCTGGTATATTTTAGATCTCATAAGCCAGTGAATGGTTAAAAGGAAGAGCCCTCAAGAAACACAGTGAACATCATTGATCAGGTTCCTCCACTCAGTCTCACCTCTTTAGTTTTCTCCAGTTCATTCTGTAAAGCCTGCTTAGTGACCTCCACCTCGATCAGCTGCTGCCTCAGTTTCTCATTCTCATCTTCTGTTTTAGTCCTTTTCTCCTCCACATTCTCTAGCTCATGGTGTAAGCGAACAGATACATCTTTCGCCACCTGTGAAAAAGCATACAATGTCACTTAGCAGGCCTATGAAGAATCTTTATCTGACCTGTAATCTTACTTTCAGATCTTGCTCCATGCTCCTCAGCAGCTCTCCGTCCACTTGGCCACTTTCAGCAAAGCGCAGCCTCTTCCGCTCAGCCTTTTTCAGCCTGTACTGAAGGATCCTGCAGTTTTTGTTTGCTCTCTCCAGCTCCCGCCGCATGTCCTGAAGTTGGCACGCATCTTCTTCATAGAAAGTGTCTCGCATTTCGTCCATCTCTGCTCGCATCTCCTCAATCTCATTCTAAACACCCAGTTGGAAATAAAATGAGATGGTGCTCTTCTTTAGCAAATGCAATGCAAATTATTACATTAATATTCTACTAATTATTGTAGGCTATTGGGTACAGAAAACAAAGAAAGGCATATAGACTTATGCTGCACCCGAACCAAGCACATTATGGAACTTCAGCTTCATATTCTGGTATCCAATGTCAACTGTACCTATAGCAGTTGCAACAACTCCTGATGCTGACTGCATAATTTAGCCATGTCTGCTTTACCTTGAGATCCTCGTTCTCGTCCTCCAGTCGCTCTATCTCCTCCTGCAGCCCCGGGTCCGCCTGGGGAACCGACTGTGGTGGACTGTCCGGTTCTGGCGATAGTTCAGGCTCTGAGGTCGGTGGAGACACTGATTTTACCTGCATCTTGGCCCCTTTCTTCCCCAAGCTCTTATTTAAGTGAAATTGTATGAGCTCTGTCTGTAAGCATCCCTCTTTCCAGAAGCCCGGCCCGCATCCCACAGTGCCTTTGGAGCTCTTCTTGCTGCCGTTGTTGGCGTCATATCCTCGCGGGTTTTTGCTTCTCAGTTTGGGGGACTTGGATGCACTGGGCTGGTCCGAGACGACGCTGCCGCCAGTGGACACGGGCGAATGGCCGCGGCTGCTCCTCCCGCCTCCTTCTCCACCTGCGGCGGGTTTGGAGGATGCTGCTTTGGGCTTGTGCGCGGCTTTAGCTCCGCTGTCTTTAGCCCCAGCTGGAGAGGACGAGCGCTGTTGCTTCCGGCTCCTATTGTCTGGCTGCCGCGACGCGTCGGCAGAAGATGGGTTCATCATTGTGTCAGAGGTTCAGAGCATTCTCCATCCCTTTCTCTACAGATAATAAGCGCACATTATTGTTGGACCCGAGTTTCCATTTAAATAAGCTAACCTATCACTTTAACAAGGCTAATTGCAGCGACGTGAACGTGACCACCAGTGACGCGTTTGCTCATTTGATTAAACATGGGATCAGCTGTAGGACGCGTAATGGGTAACCCACAATAGACGAGAGGGGTGTGGAGACCCCCTCCCAAATGTAGAGGGAGAATAATTAAAGCTCAAAGAAAGAAAATCAGAAAAGAATAGGCCTAGAGTAATTGTCCGGATCATCAGTCCATTCTTTAAAAAATAGCCAGTGGACAAAGTTTTATCCAAAAGCTAACAAACAAACTTTTATAAATATATAAAGATTTTCCTATAGCCTATATTTGTGCTATTAGGCAGATTAAACTATACATTAACAGCATACTATCTGAGGATCGAGGATAGGGCCTTATTGGGCTAATTATGACTAATCAAGTCAGCCTACACCTCATATGGTATCTATGCTGTGTCCATGATTCCACATAAGCTCTATCCAACATTACAGTGATAAATGTATGGGGACATTACATTCAAAATGCATTTTTGACGCATTCTGTTGTCTCTGGCGTCGACTGGCATCGCGTGTGTCGCTTTAAAACCGTCAAGATGAGCATAAAAGTCTTTTACAGCCCGGATGTCTGTGTCACGTCCTCCCAAACTAGAAGCAGCAACAGTAAATCAAAGTGTCTCGAGGCCTACGCTGCACAGAAGTCAACGTGGACCTACCACTTCGCCCTTACACCTGTCGGAACGACTCAACAGGACCACAGTTTGTCTAAAAGATGAGACATGCTATAACCACATGGAACTATCAGCCCTTACCGTCGTTTGTTGGATTATTCGAAGGATGCGAGTAGACGGTGGCCGGTGATGATGGGGAGGCAGAGGGGATGCTGAATCGAGCGCCTCCCTTCCACCTCCAGGCAGCTGTTTTAATATTCATGACATTACATCATCGCAGGGAGGGGCGAGTGGGTAGGACGGAGCAGAGCCGTGGAGCAGAGCGGCACCACAGCCGGCAGCGCTCATTGGAGGATGCTTCTCCTGCTCCTCCGTCAGCTGTGATTGGATGGAGTTGCCTGAACTCACCTTGCATCCAGTCATTTCAACTGACCTTGATTTGTGGACTGGCACCATTAGAATGCAGTTTGTTCTTGCGCTATTTTTAGACTTTAGGCTATTTTGGTTCAATTCACTGGTGTAGCATTGTCTTTTTATTCTTTACTCTTTTGACTAAAGAAAAATATCATCCATAATTTAGGTAATACATGACTGGTAGGTTATTAGTAACTGTTATTGAGCGGAGGTTGGCATCAGCTAATGAGCTGTTAAGTCAAACAATACGAATGAATCTTTAAGCGTATTGGTGTAAACTTATTTGCAGTGAGGTGCCAAATATCTCCAGTCTTCTTGTCTATAATAAACCACACTAGAACAAAATATATAGCTTGGTTTTCACATTGACAAGACTGGTTCAAAAATGGCTTTTTAAATATTCTATTGGATAGTCTGTTTCATTATTGCAGTCCTTACTCTTGTGCTCTGGAACCAGGCCCAGATCTAGAATAGTTTTAACTCTGACTGATTTTCCAAAAGGGTTGGGCCAGTGTGCAGTGTACAGTGTGCTGGACTCATCTAACCAGGCGTTTAGAGCTTTTAATACTTGGCCTTCTTCCAGTATCTCCCTAAGAATGATAAGCACATCTACAACGATGCAAGGAGCGTGGTTAAGGTTATTCAGAAACACATGCATCAAGAACACTTAAAGGCTGGCACCACCGTTAAATGTTCTGCTACTGTTAAATAGCTGTAACTGTGAAATATATTGCAAACCCATTTACTACTTTAGTACTGACAATACAAAAGTAACCTAAAAATAAAATATTTTCAACAATGCAAAAAAACGTAGTAGAATAGGGTTCCTACTTTAGGTTTATGCTTTGATCCAGTCCTGCTACTTCTTTTGATTTAACCAAAGTTTCTACCATTTACTATTGTGAATCTAATTCTACTTAATACGCTGTTGAACAGAAGCTTGATCTAATTTGGCTAATAATATTAATCCAACATTGGATGCCACATGTCTTCTAAAATTATGCAACTCAAAGAAGTAGAGCTATGACAATGCTGCACTTTATATATCCAAGGTATCATTGTTTCCATTTGGTTATGTCTGAGCTGGCTTTAATATCAGGATATGTCCAGATCAATCCTGTTCCATTTTGTAATCATCATAGTTTGATTGCACTGCGCAAGGTTTAGAGGCCAATCGTGCTGCTGGCCAGGAACCATGATCCATTTGCTTTGAATGGGATAACAGATGTTTGGGGAGGTGCACTGCAGTTTAGCCGACACACATTTACACAGATCCTCCACATCCCCCAACTACCTTCTCCTTTTACCCCTAAGAC